CTAGTTTTATACTTTAATGAAATGTAAAAATTAACTACTTTTTTTTTAACTTTTTTTACTTGATGGAAAATGTAACTATTAACTACTTTAAAATTAGTATTAACTACTATGTAACTACTTTATGCGGAAAATGTAATATTAACTACTATTAACTACTTTAAAATTAACAAGTTTTATACTTGATGGAAAATGTAACTATTAACTACTTTAATGAAAAAGTAACTATTAACTTTTTTTTGTAGAAATGTAGCAATTAAATAAATAACAAGTTTAACTAATGTTAAATAATAAATGATATGTAACAAGTAACAATTTTTTTTTCTTTAAAGAGTAATATGAGAAATGTAACAATTAACTACTTTAACTAATATTAATATGAGAAATGTAACAATTAACTACTTTAACTAATATTAATATGACAAATATAAAAATTTACTAGTTCTTTTTACCTTAATGACAAATGTAGCAATTAACTAATATTAATATGAGAAATGTAACAATTAACTACTTTAACTAATGTTAATATGAGAAATGTAGCAATTAAATAAGTAACTAGTTTAACTAATGTTAAATAATAAATGATATGTAACAAGTAACAATTTTTATTTTCTTTAAAGAGAAATGTAGCGAAATGTAACAATTAACTAATTTAATAGATAAATGAGAGGTCTAACAATTAACTACTTTTATAAAATGTATGAATGTGTATAAGTCTATATAGTTTATATAACTTGTAAATGTATTATAAGTAATATATAATATAATGTTTATAGTATATAATATATAAGTATATTACTATAAGATGAGTAATACACTTATACTTAATACTTTAATATATATATAAGTATATATTGAGTAAATGTAATATGTAAATATAAGTAATAAGAATAGTATGGATAAAAGCTAAATATCAAATAAATATGAATGTGTATAAGTCTATATAGTATATATATAATGTATAAATATATTATAAGTAATATATAATATATTGTTTATAGTATATAATATATAAGTATATTACTATAAGATGAGTAATATACTTATACTTAATACTTAATACTTTATATATATATATATATATATATATATATATATATATATATATATATATATATATAGGGAGCGGTTCCTGTGAGAACACTCTCTTAGGAGAGTAAAAAAGATTAAAATTGAACCATTGACTAATCTAATCGTGCGGCTTAGATGGGTTTTAAAAAAACACACGCACCACCTCACGTAATTAATATTGAATGTGTGTGTTTAATTATAAAAGGACATTAAAGTAAAAGGACTTTAATTTGGGTGGCCGCTTTTAACTTACAAGTCAATACCTTCCTTAAAAATCTCAAACGTTTTTCTATTTTTAACAAATAAACTCCCACTTTCTCTAAAAGTTAGGGGGTAGTTATTATGAAGTTGGAAGTTTCCTAGTAATTAGGAAAGCAATTAAATTGTATTCTCTCGTGAGTTGTTTTACAACATCTACTTTCTTTTAATTTGATAGTTTTTAAATTACTTTTCATAAATATATTTTTACTTTTTTTGCATTATATACGTACTTTATTAAAACAACATGTATCGTATTTGCACTCTAGAACAAAATAAATGCACTTTTATTTAAAATTTTATGCAACATCAACTTAATCATATATTTGGGTTTTCCACAAATATTAATATAAGTAGTTAACACCAATCATCAATGAAACACCTGTAAATAAAAATAACACTTTTATTATATTAATCTGCACTTTTGTAAACTGCACGTTTATGTTATTAACTTGCACTTTGTTTTAAGAAAATTCCACACTGTGCATTTCTAAACTCGATCAAATGGTCTTAAATAAAATGAAAATGAATATACAACAGTATTAACCAAGAGTGCACTTCAAATGAATAGAAAAGTGCACTTTCCTTTATACAAAAGTGCAAAATTATATCACACTTTCTAGAGTTATGCATACACATTAACATGAAACATGCATTTGTTATTCATCAATATATATCTTCTTCGTGCATTTGTGCACTTCTGTACATTTTTGAAGCACTTTAAATTGCACTTTTTAAAATTTCACTTTTTATCTCATTAACATGCATCGTCTATTCATTAATATATATCTTCTTCATGCATTTGTGCACTTCGGTACTTTAAATATTACGGAGTATACTTATTGAAGCACTTTAATTGAATTCTTATGCACTTTTAACATGTATATGTGCAACTTGTATGGTTAATCTCGTTTAATATTTTTTTATTTTAGTATTTGTGCACATTTTAATAAATTAAGTTGCACTTGTGTAACTATCAATTTTTATCTCATTAATATGCACTTTTAATATATTAACATACTCATTACTAGTTCAATTTCATAAATTTTATCTTGAAATAAAATTGAAAATGAAGAGCAGGTTATCAACTAACAACCAATAAGTGCACTTTAAATCTATAAAAAAAAAGAGCACTATTGCATCTCGATCAATTTGGAAAATTCTACTTGATTTATTTTTACAAAATAAAATGAAAGTTTTCCACTTCACTATGGTGATCGTTCCATCCTTTGAATCCCACATATCCCACTATAAAGAGTACACGTATAGAGATTGAATCATTATGCAAAAGACAAATTGAAAATAAAATAAATGGAGTAATGTAAAACGGTAAATTAAAGATGAGAGAGAGAATTATGGGTGACGGTTTTGGAAAGAAACGGGGTGCATTAAGTATTAGGAGAAATCACCTAATTGCCCTCTACGAAAATTTATTAGAAGTTAAAATAGATGCTTCATCCAATGGCTCACATCAAATCTTTTTTCCTCTTCTAAGATTAAGTTCTCACATGAACCTAAATATATATATATATAGGGGAAAGATCAAGTACAAAGTGTGCTTATTGTGCAAATATTTGTACGATGCACCTTGACGTTATTTGCATTGCATATTGAGGTTCAAAGTATTGCACATTATAAAGTCATAAAAATAAAAGTTGCACATTAAGGTGCAACGAGTTGCACCCTAAAAAGTTGGGTTTTATTACAAAAATGTCACCTTGCCTTTATGTCCTTTGGATCAACTCATCGGACGGTCAAGATGAGTTTGTACTTTGTAAATTAAGAAGGCTTTGTATTTGATCTCTATTCTATATATATATATATATATATATATATATATATATATATATATATATATATATATATATATATATATATATATATATATATATATATATATATATATACACAACTATTCAGGTCTGGCCAGGCCGGACCACTTCCCCCATCCGGCCTCCTCCATTTGGGGGTCTTCCCGGTGGTATTTTTTGCTCAAATTTTTTGTGTAGGTTCCTCATCAAGTCTAGTTCATCCATACCAAAATTCAGCCAAAAATTCAATCGGGAAAGTCGTCAAATGATTTTTGCAAGTTAACTGGTCCGGAAAATACATATTCCGGACCAGTTAACTTGCAAAAATCATTTGACGACCTTCCTGATTGAATTTTTGGCTGAAATTTGGTATGGATGAGCTAGACTTGATGAGGAACCTACACAAAAAATTTGAGCAAAAAATACCACCGGGAAGGCCCCCAAATGGAGGAGGCCGTACGGGGCTCCGGTCAGGCCTGACCGGAAGAGTACTCTATATATATATATACATATACAGGGAACTCTTCCGGTAAGGTATACCTTACCGGAGCCGCCGTGCGGCCTCCACGTTTTGAGGGTCTTCCCGGTGGAATTTTTCGATGAAATTTTTTGATCATGTTCTTCATCAAGTCTAATACATCCATACCAAATTTCACCAAAAAATTCAATCGGGAAGGCAGTCAAATGATTTTTGGAAGATAACTGCAACCTTTATATACATATAAAACGCAGTTATCTTCCAAAAATCGTTTGACTGCCTTCCCGATTGCATTTTTTGTTGAAATTTGGTATGGATGTAATAGATTTGATAAAGAACATGTACAAAAAATTTCATCAAAAAATTCCACTGGGAAGGCCCTCAAAACGTGGAGGCCGCACGACGGCTCCGGTAAGGTATACCTTACCGGAAGTTTTTCCTACATATACATATATATATATATATGTATGTATATGTATATATAAGTATATATTAAGTAAATGTAATATATAAATATAAGTAAATAACAATAGTATGGATAATAACTAAATATCAAGTAAATATGAATGTGTATAACTATATATAGTATGTACAAATAATATAATGTGTAAAGAATTATAATATGAATGTGTATAAGTATATATTTATATATAATTATTATATATAAGTAGATATAATAATTATATAAAATATATATATGTAGAAAGAATTTGGAGAAGATGAAGAATGAAGATGATTGAATATGAGAGATTGAGAGAATAGAGAATTAGAGAGTAGGAAGAGTTGTAGAAGAAGAAGTGTAAAAAATGTATAGAAAATAGGAGTATAAATAGTTTTTTTTGTATACCCCACCCCCACCCCCTAACCCCCCAAACCCCCCCTCCTGTGCTCCCAACGTCTATAGAGCCATTTGGGAGCTCACCAACGGCCGGGCCGGTTCACGTATTAGCAGGCCCGAGCCCGGACCGCCATCCCACCGGGTCGGGTGGCCCGAACCGGTGCACCAACCGGTTGACCGGGCCGGTTCGGGCTCGCACAGTAGCGGGCCGGTCCGGTTCCAGGCCGATTGGCCCGGCCCGAGTCCACCCCTACTTCCCCCATAAGGCCATAACAGATGACCTAGCTTAAATATTTTAATACTTCCCCCATAAGGCCATAACTTTACGACTTTCAAAATTGATCGACCATAAACTCACCATTGATATCTTAGTCGCAAAAGATTTTAGGGTCAAATGGGTCAATTAACATAAATCAATCAATGATATCGGAACTAAAGGGAAAAGAAGGATATTTAGAAATTACATTTAAAATTCCATTCGAATCTAGAAGAAATAGATAAAAGTTTGGATTCTCAAAACTGAAGAATAAAGACACTATGTTGCTAAGAAAATCAAAATTGGAGCAAAGGCTGAGGAATACCAAATTTTATAAGCACCGTCATCCTCGAAAATATACTCCAAAATTTTTAATTTTGTAGCCATATCAGGCAAAAAGTGTTCAGAACGAAGACCACAAGTATCTGGGTGCTCGGTGAAGTCACGAAAATGTGGGTAGGAATAATAACTAGAGGCACAACCGCACAAGAGAACAAAAGAAAAGATATTTTACTAGGCGAATAGTATAAATAGTACAATATTTATCACTAGGATAAATATTTTGTAGTGTGTATACACAGCATGGCATCTTCTTATAAGTATTGGCGAATGCTTTCTCCGCTCATCGATTCCATCTCCCGGAGAATCTCTTGTGCAAGGGATTTAACAGAAGGCTCGGCGTCCTCAAGCAGTTCGCCAAGGAATGGCATTGTTTCTGCCAAAAACTGCAAGTATTCTTCTTTCAAGTTCTGCACCAGGTAACTCACCACTCTCAATCCCAAGATGCGTGTGCGTTGTTTGTTGCTACGAGTTTGCATCAACACCTGTAATGTAGGACACATTAGTATTAGATCAAATCAAAATAAGGCTACTGAAAGCATATATATTTGTATATAGGGGGGTTTTTGGGAGAGTGCTGATGTGATAAAAAAAAAAAAAGATTGAACAGAGAGCTGACCTCATGATTCAATGGTTTCCATAAAAGGTCAGAGGATGCAGTCACTGCCATCTGACCAATACACGAAACCAGCAAGTCGTCAACTTCCTCTACTGAAGGTACGCCTGGGTTTTGATCTAACAGCATTGGCGGATCTGTGTCTAGCTGGGACACAATAGGCTGCAAAAGGACCTGAAGAAGCGCTTGGCAATGAGTAAAGTAGCCAGAATAGGTAAAATACGGAGTACAAATGCCCACGAAACAATACAACAACATCCAAGCCTTCGTTCCAAAAGAGTTTGGGGCCAGCTAACATGAATTGACATATGAAATTGAAGCTAAAAAAGATAAAGAAAAGATGAAAAGAACATCATCATAATCATTACCCCCACATAGGCTCCCACATACGGTGGGGTAAGGGGGTCGGATGAACGCAGCCTTACTCTTGTACCAAAGCACAAAGAGACTGTTTCCGGATGACCCATGGTGAAAATGATAATAAGGATAAGCTAAAGATAAGATCAAAAGATAAAATACATGATAATCCAAGCAAGAAATACCTCCAAAAAATACAAATGATCTTTAAGGTACGAAACATATGCTAATCCAGATAAGTATATTGACAAGATTCCACACCCACCCACCAAGGACCGTTTGGTACTCGGAAATAGTGGCAAATGCGAAGGAAGAAAAATTGGAAGGGGGATAAAGGCTATACTCATGATCGATAAAATTTCTTCAGATATATGTTTAAATTCACTTTATTCATTTATTTCTACTACAAAAAGAATAAGAAATCTAAATGTATTGAAAAAAAATAAACATATTTGACTTTCCCGCATATTTTCCCAGGTAAAGTCAAAAATAAAAATATTGATTTCCCACGTAGCATTTTCCCCATTCTTTAAGCATTTTGCGCGATCTGAACAGACTGCAGAAACCTAACTGCTTGAAAGCGTACACAATAAAGGTCTCCCTCCCCGACCCTAACCAAAATATTGAACTCCCTTAGACCAAAATATTGGAGAGTCCTCTTTTTTACCCCTTTCAATGCTATATGACTTCAAAGCATTAAGCACGTAATTGACATAAGGATCTGACAACTTGCCTGAAAGTTGGAAGAGTCGAGAAATTTGTTGTTTCCTTTATCATAAACAAAACATTTGTGCAAAGAAGACAAAACCAGTGCTCTTAAATGCCACGTTCGAACAGATAAACTGTAATCTGCATCCTTGACTGTTTCCAGAAGCTTGGCCTTTTTCTTTTTCTGGGTACCAATAATTTTCCCATCTTCAGCTTCCTTGAGGTGTCTTATGCAGTCCTCCAGCAAGTACTTAAAGTATGGGACGAACAATGACCTGACAATAATTATGAACAGAAACTCATAAAACATGAGTATAATGCATCAAACCCCTTCGTGATATATAAATTATGCGCATTAGACCCTTGTGATTTAAATATGCTTCAAACCCCTCTGTTTTATAACTAACCATAAGCAAAAAAAACCTTCAAGAACAAATTCAATTGTCAAATAAGATCAAAATGATTAGTATTTGTGTAGAATTTAGAGATTTTAAGGAGTCATATGTGACTCTAGTGTGCACACCATCATCACACATTTTTAGTGGAGGCCTGGAGGGCCCCACTAAAAAATGTGTGGTTATGGTGATGACTACATGACCTATATGACTCCATACAAGAGTCATATATGGCTCTTTAAATTTTTTAGACAAATGATTATTAAGTAATTTGTTAAACAACAAATTATTCAATCATTTAACAAGTAATTATGAAATAGGATTATAAATTTTTGTTTTAAAAATGCCTTCAATAGCTTCTCAACACGTTTGATACACACATGGAACCCACACACAAAGCTTCCAAATTACCTCTAATCAATAGATTTTAAAAGTTTATTAAGACACTTGTCAAACACTCAAATCCAATAGAGACTTTAGAGCAGTTGCTACGCCGACGACATTAACTTAATTCACATGATCCAAGAGTTTGGGATGTTCTCTTGTATTTACCCTGATTTATATTTGAATAAAGAACAGAACATACTCCCTTCCCTCTGTTGCGCTAAAATTGTTCATTTTTCCTTTTTTATCCATCCCACTAAGATTATCACATACCAAATTTGATAAAATTTGTGTGGTTCTAAATCATTCAGACTTTATTCTTACTTTATCAATTCAATATCAACCATATAAACACACTTTTCTTAATACCCGCATCACCTCCTCATGTCCCAATGTTAGTAGGACAGAGGTAGTACAACTTTCACGTTTGCCAATACACAACTTTGATTATAATTATATGTAATTACGTATTATTAAACAATATAAAATTTTAATATTTCGAAAATTCACATTAAAAAAATTACTGATATTTTATGCATAATAATTTGATTATACATATGAGCATAAAATCATGGTCAAAGTATGGTGTATGAATAGTGCAAAATTCAGAATATTGCAATTATTAAAGAACGGAGGAAGTAGTATTGATGAGCACACCACCATTTATTCGGATTACCATTTGCCTAAAAAATCATCTTAAGGTCTACACCAATGGATTCCATGAAAACATACCTAAATTGACAAACATCTAGAACTCTAGAAGATAGATAGTTAGATACTATAGAATCAAAGTCAACAAATGGAATTTGTTAATTTATAACAACCCTGACAACATAATGATGTGTTCTGACTCTTAAGCACGTTGTCACTTGCTCTTTTAAGGTGCATAGATTAAGGATTAAGGATGTCTTCAATTGGACTGAAATTTTCTGATCTACTATGGTCTAATCTTATCTTATCTGTTTAAGTTAGGTCTGGTCTGTTTTGGTTGGGGACTGAAACTAGTCCAAGTAAAAGTAAAAACATCCTAATTGTGACCAGCATCAGCGAAATCTAAACATTCCTTAATTGGCAAGTCAGATTCTTTTAGCAAGAAAAATAACTCTAGGAAATATGTGCAAAAGCTTGCAACATTAAAATGATGATTGATTATAACAGATTATTTTTTGTAATAACATTGATCCAGAAAGACAAACATAAAAACCGGGAAAAACTGTTTCCGAAATAAGCAACCAAAAATGTTCAGATGATTGGTGTAACACAGTTAATTGAGTAAAGCTTTAAACAAGAACCACCACTCTGACATCAAATATACAAAAAATGTCACCACATCAATCCCTGGACTTTGGGCAATAATATACCAATGCATATTTTTAAACCAAATGAAAAAATTTAAGAACTAACCTGTGGTTTTCAGCAAACATGTTCACCAAACCATAGAAAGCAATGGTGCGATCATAGGACTTCCTTATTTCATTGTCTTCCACATTTGAGTCTGACCATTCAACACTCTTAATAAAGAGAGGCCTAAACATTTTTTCAGTCAGCTTCATAGATAGACCCACCATAGCATTAATAACATTTTTCTCAACAAGATCAATATTTTTAACAGATTCCAAGCGCAGGCGGCGAAGATCAAGAGCTTGCAAGCACAGGTCAAATATCTTTGCATGATAGGCACCAATAGTCGACTTATCCATTGTAGCTACAAGGCCTCCAAGCATTGTGAAAGTAATGGATAAACTACAATCCCCATATCTAAGTGCATCAGGATATATCTTCAGCAATGGTGGAAGGGAAAGTCGAACCTAAAAGGACATTTGTGTAAATGTAAATTACGAACAAAAGAACATTTATAAAAGGGAAAAGGGGCAAATAAGCCCTCGAACTAATAAAAAAAGTGCAAATAAGCCCTTTTGTAGGAGGTTCCATCCGGTCATCGTCATTTGGGGAGGTTCACGGTGGAATTTTTTGATGAATTTTTTTGAGCATCTTATTCATTAAGTCTAGTTTAGTCCTACTGAATTTCAGCTAAAAATTCAATCGGGAAGACAGTCAAATGAATTTTTGAAGATAACTGCGCAGTTAAACAACGCAGTATATTTCCGAGAATCATTTGTGTGCCTTCCCGGTTGAATTTTTAACTGAAATTCGGTATGGCTAAACTAGACTTAATGAAGAAGATGCTCAAAAAAATTCATCAAAAAATTCCACAGAGAACCTCCCCAAATGACAATGATCAGACGAAACCTCCTACAAAAGGGCTTATTTGCACTTTTTTTATTAGTTCGAGGGCTTATTTGCCCCTTTTCCCTTTATAAAACCACCAAGGTCAAATGAAATGCTTCGTGAACACTTACAGGGACTTTACTTGCTATAAGTTTTCTTATATCATCAGCTTTTAACTTCAGCTGTACATCTGGTGTGGATGTATATTGTGGACACAAAACCAGAAGTTCAAGCATGTTTTCCAGGTATGGACTCAAGAAACCACCTAGTTTATCCACAACTGCATCTAAGGAAGCAAGGATAGACATAAACACAGACTCGCTTTGGTCAGATGATGCATTAAGACTGTACTCATTTTCTTCACTAGCTGGTAGTGTAGACTTGTAGAAATCGCGATACTTTTGTATCAGGTTTCCCATTATACAAGGAAGCTCAGGCAGTGCATTTGGCCCCAAGACATTGACCAAGGCACCAGTGGTACGAAGACAGCAAGAAGAGACTAAACTATTGTTCGCACAGATACTTTTACAAATGGATGAAAGGCATAAGTTGAAGACTGAACCCCCTGAAGGGAATCTGACAGCTAAAACTTCAATTGTTGAAACTGCAGCCAGTTTCAATTGACTACTTGAGTGTTCACTAGAATCATCAATAAATTTCAGTATAACTAGACACAACTTGTTGAATACTTCCAAAGAAACTTCATCAAGAAGAACCCAAGAGTCTCTTGAGTTTGAACTTAGTTCTTTTTTCCCATGCTTTGCTTGTATTGTACCGGTGGACTTCACTGTGTCACATAAAATCCCTAGAGCCTGCAATGAAGTGAAACTTTAATATATATATTTAAAAAATAAGTAAAGATAGATAGATGAATAGCGGCTACAAGCATTAATATATTCCCACAATCCCACTGATAAAATTCATAAGCTTAGTAGCAAACATCTGCAACAACTTGGTTAAAAAATGGATTGCTAAAAAAGTAGATATAGCACAAGTAATAACCGGAGGGGCTTAAAACCATTGTTTTGTCAAGCAGATAAAACCTATGCTCGAACTGCACAAAATGAATATATGAACTCCATTACCTTCTTTTTGACATTAATATCTGCATTTTTAAGCAATTGCACAACAATGTTGAAGTATATTGAGGGTCTAAGGCACTTTGCAATGGCCTTCAAAGCAGCACGAATGTTCTCCTTCAGTTCTTTCCTGATTACAGGGGTACCCATATGATTTTTTTTGGATTCCGATAGTAGCAGATGAGATACCATAAACTCAGAAATAGAACCAATTGTTTTCTGCAAATAAATGTATAATAGAATTGCGTCATTAAAAGACACAATACTGTCAAAATAATTTCAGCCCGCATGATACAGCCTGGAAGATCACCATTTACAGAAATTTCTTATAATTTAATACAGACCTGCATGCTTTCTGAGACACCTTCTAAATCAAGCTTGAAAGAAACTTCTGGATTTTGCAGTTTGTTTGAAGTAAAATGGTCTGCAACTACCAAGATCATAAACATTTCTTCACTCCTACAATCTATGTCTATTTTCTGAAGCAGAGTAGCAATGGAGGGAAGCCATACAGTGCAATCATATTGCTCAGATAAAAGCACTGCAAATGTATACTCCCATTCCATTATCATGCTAGAATTCAAGTTACCCAATAAAGGGTTGGCATCACCGGTGCATGACAAAATCTTTCTAGAGATAAGTGAACGGAAGAGGAGGAAAAACAGTGTTCCCAAGCTAGTATTCACCCCTAGGTTCCTGAGTAAAAAGACTATCAGCAGAACTGCAGAAGTTAATGACAGAGTAAAGATTCAAAATAACAAAAATTCATACTTGAGAAGGTGCATAACAATTGAAAGTCTTCGATGTTCCGCAACTTTGGGTAGAAAACTCACGAAGATCTGGCAAAGGTATGAGGTTAAATGTATCTGCACCTTAAGTGTTAATTTTATGTTGGAAGGATATAACCAGGTCCCACATACCTGTATCAAAGTGTCTGTGCTGTCAGTTTTAGACAGCCAGCATGGCACAATAGCAGAAATGAGGTCATCAAAAACACATTGGGAATAGCTGTCCCACTGCAACACCAAAAAACATCAGCTTAGAACAACTTCATTGTAACATTGTAATAAATCCAGTAGTATGATACAAGAAGTCTTTTGCATTACAGGATTTACAGGCTGATAAAAGGTTAGGGAAATGTGATGAAAACAACATTTCAAGTGTTATAGTAAGGCGGTACAAACCATTAACTGTGTCCGAGTAATTGTGTAGCAAGCAATATAAATGTGCAAATTTCAGTTGAGAAGGGCAAAATTTTCAATTAACAATTAAACAAAAACGTCAGAAAAAATCAAATATGACCTGTGTCATGGTGGTTTCCCCCACCATAATCAGAATAGCAGGAATATGGTCCAAAACTCTGGTAGGCATGACCTTTGCTATAGTTGATAGCAATGACATAACATGATTGCAGGTCACAGGATTGCTTACAGAATGGGCACATCTGATTAGAAGTTCAATATCAAGGTCCACAAATTCATCCTGTCAAAGTCAGTATTAGCAACTGATAAGGACACATAGAAACATTAAGATAAAACAACCAAGGAAGCTAGCAGGACCTTAGCTGTAACTGAAGCAGCAATATCTTCCAATAATAGCAGCACTGTCTGTTGAATGTTAATTACAGTAACAGAAATAGTCTGAGGGTTTTCAGATGGCAAAGTTGCATCTGAGTCTGCTGCTAAATGATTCCAATCACTGTCCAAAAAGATCTTGTGAAGAAGCTTGAACAATGGACCTATAAGAGAGATTCTGCACAAGGGATATTGGTTAGTACGAGCATATAAAGATACAAATTGTTGCTCAGGTATAACAGTGAATGAAAAAAATGCAAGAGCAACTCTAACCTGTTCTCCAGGGTTTTTTTCAACAGCAGAACATCCAGTAGAGAGCTAGTAAAAGCACGTGGATCCTCGGATTTCAGAATCAGATCACATACATCAGACTCTTGATGAATTGCTCCTTTTCTTTTTCTCCTTCCATGTGCTGAGCTAATAGTTTTAATGCTCTTATTTGAGATGGAATCAAGCATGCGTGCAACAATGGAGCAACTAATCTGAAGAGTCAATAATCCAATTGTGACGATTGAGTGAAGAGAAAACAAAGTAGGCATTACCAGAAAAGACAACCCACAGATTGATCCGAAATTCTTTCCAAACCGGTCATAATTGCACAAGCCATAGATCAAATTTTATAAAATAATTGGTAGTCAGGTGATAAGAATCTTTGTAAAAAAAAGTTAACAATGCATTAGATGGTCAGTAAGAAAGTGAATATGAAAAGTTATAGAAAAATACGTTATTTTAATTTTAATATATAGGCAAAAAGCTTGATAAGAACTTTATTGTTCTCCACAAAAAGCATGTAGGTAAGGAAAATGAAAGCACATTCTAATTAGTATAGATGCTTATATAAGAGGTGGGCTGGGATAGAGAGGGAACAAACATCAATCTGAAGCAAGACCCCTTTAGTGGCATCTTGTATTTCACCATTTGCAATCCGATACAGATATACAAGTTCTCGAAAGATAATTTCCTGCAACAACAAACTCAATCATACTTTTACAGAGAACATAAGCTTCTGCTATACAAAAAAAAACGTGTCTATAGAGGCAGTAGCATAATTTATCATATTAATGTGACTGACTGAACATGAAATAAATATTCTAGCTTCCATTATCATTTATTTATAGAAATCATCAGAAACCACTCTGGGAAAGAAAATCAGCAATGAAAATGATTTGAATTGTTCAAAGAACCTGAGTTGTGGTCTCTAACATTCCATAAAGAGAATTGGTAAGATTTCTCAGAACAGTTATACAGGGCTCCACAGCAGCGGGGTCTTCAGAAGGCACAGCATTGAGCTGAAAGTATATGGCAATGACCACATCGTCTATCACATGAGAGTTCACAGAATAAATGGAACAAAAATAAAGGCATAATAATACAGAGATAAAAGCAACAAACCTGCAAAGCCATCAATATAGTGTCCTTCAATTCCTTACCGGTAATAGAAGTAGAAGGGGTTGTGCAGATCTGAAAGACAGAAATAGCTACCTCAAATATATTCAAAGCCATGAAGAGTATTTATATCTGCATAAGCTGTTTAATTTTGGACTTACATCTAACAGAAGGCAAAGAATGTCAACTTCAGCCTTTGACAATTTAGGATATGACTTATCATATCCAAGGTGATATCCACGCCGCCTTTTCAGAAGCTCACAAAGAAGTGATTCAACACCAGCAAATTGCATTAACCTGTTTCCCAATCCTTTAAGTAGTGATAGAATTCTTAGCTGCCACCAAAATTCAATGACATTCAAAACAGTTTACATTTCTAAATACTCGTGAAACAAGTAAAACACAGTATTTTAGCATATCAATCAACCAAGTTGAAGAGATCAACCTTCGCATAGGCAGAAAGTCCTAGAGCAGAGCCAACAAGGAACACCAAGATTTCATCTTTTGTTTTCTGATCAAATCTGCAAAATTAAGTAACAAGAAATCCTTTCTATTAAAATTTAGAAATAATACAGAAACTTTTATTCATATTTAAAACAATGGTGTCAAAACTGTTCAGAGAATTTAGTATTAGCATAAACTCAATTGTTTAAGCTACCTATTTCCAATATTATGTTGCACTAAAATGCTCTGGCTTGAAGAGCTTAGTAGGGATGTAAGGAAAGATGGGAGAACATTCTTGTCTGAGACTATCAGCTTCTTCTGCTGAACCATTAAGGTCAACAGATCTCCAAGAAAATGAATCCACGCCACAGAAAGGCCTGTCATTCTTTAGGGGTTAGAAGACTTCTACATGTAACAAAGAAAATACGATGATTAAGCACTAGAAAAAAGGATCACCATTTCTAAATTTGGAGAAATTAACACGAGACCACATAGCCTGAAGTGCTTCAATACAGCTCATGGCTGCCATCCGCACTCCCTGTCATAGAAGATAAACATATCAGAAAATACTTGCCCTGAATTATTATTGTGATTTGTGACTTGAGACTTGAAAGAATTTCCCAATTTTTTAGATAAAGTTTTATAACAGCAAAACAAACCTGATCATCGTTTGATAAAGGAACAAGAACTGATGGAAACTCGGCAAAGAGTTTATTGAATGTAAGGTTGTCCTCCGTTTGAGTACAAAGATATGAAAAAGAATGAAGGCTCTCAATTTGAATATCTGCTGAATGATCTGGAAAAAACCCTACATAAGTTCCCAATAATAGATACAAAAAATTAAGGACTTGTTCTCGTCTGTGTTGAATACCAAATTATAACAATGACCTTATTTTGAGCAAAACAAAAGGTATCGAAAAGAATATTGGTTGAATAATTGGACATTTGCACTATTTAAGAATTTAACAGACCAAGAAATTACCAACAAATATCAAAATATGTTACTTTGAAAAAACATTTTTTGGTGTTTGTTTGAGAAAAAGTAGAGCCAAAAAACGGCAGAGGCCCAATACATTATGAAGACTGAATAGCAAAGCTGAGATTAAATAAGGTACAACATATTGAATGCATTAGAGGAAGCTGATATGAAAACCTTCAGTGAAGAATTTTGACAGATAGTGAGATGGAGGAATCTTGCACTTTGTAACAAGGTAATCACAATGCTTCTTGAAAGTATGTTTTGATTGGGACATGAAAAAGATAAGTAGGTCCTGAAGAGAAGATATCCACTTCTCACTATTGTCCTGAAAACAGAAGATAAGGTCACAAAGATTATTAAGTTATAATGAATTTATAATGATGCCTCATAAGGAAAATAGAAGCTGCACCAACCATAGATACATCTTCAGATCCCATTGCAATGAAAGGCTCAAGTAACCTCCAAAACAAGCAGATAAGAATTTCCGCATTCAGCTCTTTTATTTTAGTCTCATCCATATGTTCCAGAAAACCTTTGTGGCCTCCATCCATGCCCGAGTTAAACTGTAGATCATGTAAGAGTGAGTACCAGCAGATTAAAAAGTAGTAGGAAACCTATACATGTTTGGAAACAGTGTCAAACAAGAATTTTACCTCACTTGCAGATATATCATCCCCTGAAGACTTCAGTAAATCCCAGTGAGATTTTAGAATTGGAAAGCAGGTGTCAAATAATGTCAAAAACTGATCCCCTGAAATAAGTAAGATGAAAAGATGCTGGCAAAGGTATACAACTCCAAAATATTAATCTGAGATCTGACCTTACAAATCTAAGATATGCTCTGTAGCATAAGATTCATAAAATGATACCAAGAAAAGAAGACTTAAATACAAAGGGAACACAAGACGAGGAGTTACAGGTACAACTGGCCTAGCAGATGTTAGCTCAAAATTATTGATTGATGAAGAATGACAAGCTTTTCCAATCTGATTATTGAATAATCAGAAACTCATTAAATTAGGATGTATCACCTGTATTATTCAGGGGTCACAGTAGGCAGAAAGTGTGTATAGTCGTTTAACTAGTTTGTGCATTTCTTAAGCCTCAATGTGAAACGAGGCATTAGCCTCAGTTTTTGTACTATTGTATATAAAGTAATTACAAATAATACGGAGTATTAAACTTCACTTAAAATATTATAGTAAAAGTATTCACTAATTTTAATACTTAAAAAAAATCATGGTCAATAAAACCACAAAAGTGTCATAACACCATCAAAATAGGAAGTTCAAGCATCCCATGATATCAAATACTCAATCCAAAAACAGAAACAAAAAGCAGCATGAAGGAAATACTAATACTTTTGTTCGAAGAAGAAAAATACATAGAGCCGCAAGGAAACCTAATCAGGAAAAAATAGGAGAGTGAAAAAAGATATTTCGAAGAAGAGACCTGTATGCATCAGCAATTTGAAGTTGGGTAGGAGAAATGTAGAAGTCACAGAATTGCAATGCAGAAGAGAAGTGTAGTGTAGGGTTATGCAGTAAAGTCGAGTTCTGTGTTATCTGGTAACGTTAAGTTCTTAATGAGAAAATAAAAAATGCTTTTTAAAGTTTAAATAGTGGGCCAAAATTGAATCGTACTTAATGCTTAACTCTCAGCAAAGCCTCAAGGCATTGTGCAATTAACCGTACAACTCATGCCAGAATTGCACAAGAGTCGTGGATTCTGCTATCAGGTATAACCTCAAGGTTTAATTGTAATAAAATGCAGGCTTGTGTGAAGGTGCAATGTCATTGTGAAATTTCTAACATTGACTAGACATGCACCATATGCCATTTCCCAAGGTATATTTCCCTTTTTCCAAATTAATGAGTACCTGTTATTTGTATAAATAAGGAAACTTTATATAAACAATAAACATGAGATAACGCAATATGATACAGCAAAAAGAGAACCACAAGCTTTCTTAGGATGAAGGGAGATAAACCAATGCACACATACCAATTTCCGGCAATGTGAGTAATTCCAATACAACCAAAAAGAATAATGTTTTTGATAACTCTGATGCACTGCAGCATTCAACAATCCAAGGAAGATAATCCCCAAGATGCATTAAGAGGGTTGTTGCCAATGTGCGGATATTTTCTGCATTTACTGAGGATATACCACTTGCATCCAATTTCTACATTTATTTAAAATAAAATTTCATTGTGTTCATAGAAAAAGGTAAAGAATCGTTCCTATACACAACACATACACACATACAGATATTTCAACAAGACATAACCTTCTTTCGGTCTGGCAAACAGACAAGATTGGTATACAAAGGCCACTGTAATTCTTTGGCCATTGCCAGAGCCTTCACATTCAATTCTTGAGTCTGCACTAAAGGAAATAAAAAATGTAGACAACAAGATTCAAGATCTTCAATCAATGCTAAAACTCATCATAAAAGCTCATTTACCTTTGGAAAAATCAATATCAAAGGGAAAACTAATGTCGCGAACTTCTTGGCAGATAAGCCAATCTCTTGGAAACTTGTTGCAGAATGCTGAAGGCAGGCCGCAGCAACATCAACTGCTAGAGAAGATTCATGCTGTGCACCTATAATGCCAATAATATATTAGCAAAAGGCACATATCTATGCCAATGTTTGCTATGACAAGACAATAAGTCATAGCTTCAATCAATATGACAGATAAGCAATGTTTGCTATGACAAGACAATAACTCATAGCTTCAATCAATATCATCAAACTTACTAGATGCCAAAAGTCCAATGCATCTCTGAAGCACATTCTGAAGTGCATCTTGAAGAAATGAAGGATTTACTATTTCAGCCAGTGCCTCCAGATTCAAAACTGCCTTTACGACAAGCAGGTCATTGTCATAAAGCCGGTGTGATATTGCATCTTGAATAGTACCAAATCTCTGTATCACGGGAAAGAAATCAATTTAGTAAAAAAAAAATGCCGCAGTTTATGCACCTCAACATAGAGCATATAGAATGAGGTCCCATATGGATGATTTAATGTAAAGCATTTATTAAGAGTCTGAGAGCACTTCCTAGTGTTACCTTACCAACTAAAAATCACTGTTAGTAAATAGAGAGTAAAATTTGTTTTCTGGGCTAAATTCATTAAACCGGCAAAAGATTAAAAATAACATTTCATCACACACAAAAACAGTTTTGATTTCAAACTCACAACCAAATAGGCCCTACAAATGAGAGGGAGTAGGAAATGAACAAAAAAAATAAGAGCTGATCTGCTGATGTAGCAAATATACATTACCTGAGAACCAACAGCCTTGTCATTTAACAAACTTGGCACATCCAACCCCAAAATAGTGGAACGGCGAATTTGTGCCTGTACGCCAAAACAAGTAAAGTACATCCAATCCCATATTAGTGGATTTGTACTGTGTTTTGTTTGTAAATAGCAATACTCTACTGAGACTTATAGACTATAGTGTGTTCGGAATGAATTATGCTAAGTTAATTATGAGCAGGTTCTTTATTGCCAAAATCACGTAGGTTTATTTACTTGTCAAACATTTACATTTTTTCATAGAAGTACTTTTATTCCTCTAAAAGCACTTATTTCTTTAAAACAAATCATATCAAACGCACATTTAGCAGTAGGCAAGGTTTAAGAATATCCATCCTGCCAATACTATTAAATCATACTTCATGTGTCCCTTATTTAGCTTCCGCGCTTGCTTTTTCACTGCCTATGATGCACACATTTGCTCATTAATATATTTAAATGCGTATTATTAGTATTTTCTTAAAGAAACTTTGTAGTATAAAATTATAGATTGCTATATAGAATAATAGAAAATACATCTCGAGACAAACCTAACATGAACTCATACGATAATATTATTTCACACACACACACACATATATATATATGGTCAACGCTTTTTAAGTTTCATTGATGGAAAAAATCATGGGAACCTAAATGATGGAGAGAGAGAGAGAGAGAGAGAGATTTACGGGGGGGGGGGGGGGGGGACTTAATTATTACCCTAGAGGGAAAAGGGCAGCCCGGCGCATATTGAATCTGGAGACATTCCCTTGTCAATACTCGACAAGAGGCCACTGCCAAGAAGGATCCAACCACAAGGGTGTATAGGGGCAGACAAATGCATTGTTTCCAAAAGGAATTCAAACTATACAAGACATAATACATACTTCAAATTCAATTGAAATGGGTCGTCTACTCGTACTCATTGATATGTTTTGCAAATTCATATAATGTAAAATTAAAGAGTGAAAAGAAAATTAGTACCTTTGGATGTTCCAAGGAAAACAAAACTTTTGAATCAAGTAACGCTTGAGAGAAATCCATATTCCCATCTAACATCTGGCTTAGTATTTCCTGATTGGATCCATCCTTCTTTGACTGCAATTCAGCATTAATTTACAAGAGAAATCTAAGGAACATAAAATAGAATAGAGCGGGGGAGAAGTGTTACACAAAGGGAATAGTTAAAGCCAACTAAACCTGAAGAAATTTGTAAACCTCATATCGTAACTCAGATGGATATTTCTTATGCAATGATACCATAATCTGTCCGGCGAATTTTCCTATTGTTTATGGGATACAAAAACAGCAAGATTATGAGGCAATTTGAAGAATAAAAACTCGATCTGTACTTATAATGATAAAATTGATTAATAGGCATGTAAACGTATTTGAGTTTGTAGAACTTATCGATTAATCAAAGTCCCACACATAGACACAAAGATATGTGTGTATAAAATCTAACTTTATACACGCACATATATAAATATATAATTATAAATATGTTATGGGGGGTTTCTAGTGAGAACTGAGAACCCTTCTTAAAATGAGAATTTTTTACAATGAGAACATTTGATCTCAACATTTCATTTAATTTCGTCATTAGGTAGGATGCACATGGGGTCCTTTGTGTCATCATTCAAAAAATTCAAATGAGGTCTTTTGTAATTACTGTAAACTTATTACCAAAATGCAACCTTGTTGATTCGAACCCTTGATATGATATATCAAAGGTGGTGATTAAAAGTTCTCATTTATGAATGAGTTCTCATTTTAAAAGGGGTTCTCATTCGAACCCTCCCCAAATGTTATATGCATATCTACATCTACATATGTGCATAATGGGTAAATATATGTACATACATGTGTGTGTATAAAATACATATAATATATATGAATATGAATATAGTATACATACATATATATAGTCATTAACAAGAACAAATTATCATAAACAGTGTAATTCAAGATTATAAGTTCTCATTTATGAATGAGTTCTCATTTTAAAAGGGGTTCTCATCCGAACCCTCCCCATATGTTATATGCATATGTATATATAAATCTACATGTGTGCATAGTGGTTAAATATATGTACATACATGTGTGTGTATAAAATACATATAATATATGAAAATGAATATAGTATACATACATATATATAGTCATTAAAAAGAACAAATTATCATAAACAGTTCAATCCAAGAAAAGTGCAAACCTGTGTTGGACACAGATGAATCACTGTTCTTAAATATCCTCGCACATGTTTTTAGCATCTTTGAGACTATGCGGTCAACAAAGCGTTTCACAGGAACATTCTCAATTATCACTAAAAAAGGCTGATGGAATAACTCATCAGAGAAACTGCAATATAATAAAGTTTAGTTAGAAATTTAGAATGAAGCCAAAATACACATTGTAAAAGGGAATCTTCAACTGCTTAAATGATAAAAACTCAACCTGTACTCTAGAAAGGAGTCCAAAAACACGCCCAGGAATTTGTCAATGTTGAACTCCTCCGTCAGTCCGCTTAGAAATTCCGCAATATCGCTTTAAATCAGAACCAGAAGCATTGCTGAACAGTTAGATATGGAGGAATTCAACTGAAGAGAGCTATGAACAAGAGTTGTCTTTTGATAGATATAGGTATAAGTTTAGAAAATACTACCTGATCCCATTCAGGATCTCCATGCTCTTCTTTGGAATTACTTCAACGGACTGCAACTGGAACAACAAAGTTCAAATAAGAGTATAAGAGGACTTGAGTTCAAACTCTCAAGGCAATACATATGGTGAGATAGGTAAGATACAGACCAAAAGAGGCCTTCCAAATCTCAACCAATGGGAAAATGTATAGAATAGATCAAGACTTGTAACTTTATCAGAAAGCACTTTGCATCATGAATAGCATTTATTGAAAAGAAAAACAAAATCAAGCATATGATATGTGTAGTACTACCTCTGTCCCATTAGAAGGTTCCTGTCCACTATTCACATGGTCAACTTAAATCATTTTTAATCTTTTACTTTATATATCAGATTTTTATCAAATTTACATTTTTTTATCAGGCTTTGTAGAGGTTGTAATGTAGTTCTGAATATGTAAATTTTATTTATTAAAAATAATCAGAGTGTGAACAGGGATTAGTTGCTTTATCGCCAGTCACATCATAAACCGTTCACGGGAACCTTCTAGCGGGACGGAAGGAGTATTATTTTCTAACATATATATTGAACTAACTAAGTATTCATATTCACAAAATAAAAATAATACCTGAACAAGGCTCACCAACGCCATAAACGACAAGTGAAGCCATTGTACACCAGTAGAATCCCTTGCATCACTGCAAGCCACGTCTGCTAAGGACCGAATCAAGCTTTTTACAACATTAGGGGACAGTGTTACCTTATCAGCTAACAGGCTCACAATCATCAAGGCACCAGCCTAACCACATAATCATGTGAGAAAGTAATGAGACATGATGCTGAATAAGAAGTATGTAAAGTACGCGAAGATAATATGGTTCAGCTAAGACCGGAAACCCTGAAAGAACGTGTAAAAATACCCATCAATATTGCAACAGGCATGAACAAACCTAACCTATAGTACATACAAACTAAATTATACAATACTCTTCTAAATCTGTAATTAAACAACAAAAGGAAACGAAGAAAACAACAAAAACAAAACATTAAACACCGATGCTTAAAACACAAGCTGAGAGCCCAAAAGTCATTGTCAGTTAGTAATTAGAGCAAACCTTTATATCATCTCCTCCTTTACCATGATGCTGAAGTCCAGAAGTAACATAAGGTAGGACTCTCTTCACAACATCACTATCAATGGTCATTAGGGAACCCAACACCTCAACAACTACAGCTGTACAAAATCCAATCACCGGCACGGATGGCTGACACTTCTTTGCTGGTGTTGCCTGAGGTAATACACATCTTTCAGATTCATGATAAATGAGAAAATGAAAATCTGAGAAGTAGACACTTAATGTGAAGCATGGGACTAACATATTCGCACAAAACCTCCAAAATCCCCAAATCGCGGAGACATTGTTGCACAATAACCTTCCTGGGTGGTGGTGCACAAGATCTCTTCACACCATCAAGAAACTTCCATCTACTGTTCCTGCACAAAAGCAGTTAACAAATTTTAGTCACAACAAAAAAGAGCATCACAATAGCATGCATATGATAGTAGATTTGCATTACCCTGTGTCTATTAATTGGATGATTCGAACAAAAACATGTGTGTCATGGTACGGCAAAGAACATAAAATTAACTCCTCCTTATTATAGACATGAATCCTGCAGTTTCACGTATGAAGTAATCTGGATCAGTAAAAGTAACTTTCAACAATGTAGAGGATTAAATTACTTCAAAAAAGATTTTTTATGGTTTGTATTTAAGAGAGCTGTAACAAAAAGGTTACTTGTATCTTCGAATCAAGTATTCTAGTGTCTTTAAGGCTGAAGGCAACTGAAAGTATCCTGACAGCAACCGCAGATATGAACTGATTGATGAATTGATTCCATTGTTTTCCTCAATTCCCATCAGCTCTCTGTCCAAATCTCTACTCTTAGGACTAAATAAGTCATTTTTGTAATTCTTGAATCTCTCTTCAGTACTTATTAGCACATCCAGGCCTGAATCATAATACACCAGGAAAAATAAAGAATGCATTCTCATGAATAACAGCCGTCACTTAATGCAATCAAGGAGATGGGGACTAAATATTCAGACATTCCCTGCTTATATTTTCATTATCTTAACCAGCTAATGGAGTAAACTTGTCATAATAAGTATCTAAAAATACTAAATGTAAAGATCACCAAGAGTTCTATAGGAAAAGTAAACATTCCCAGAAAAAGCTGCTTTCATAATGCAACATTCTGCCACCAAAAAGGACTCTTTATCAAGTACACTTCGAATTGAAACGTTGCAATCTTTTTTTATTCACTGAAAATGGAACTGAACCTGATAGAGCAGTGGAATAGATGGTTTCGACGTCTATGTCAGCAGCTTCCTTTGGTTCGAACAAGATTGAAGGACGCGTAAACGGGCGTTTCCGCGTCACTGAATCAGATATTACTATAGATTTGATTGCCTGGAGCTGTGAAGCAATTGAGGTCGCCATTGAACAGGAATATCCTCCTGGGGTTTGGGGAGGTTTTAGAGAAGAATGGTGTTAGAGTTACCTCGTCGCCACACCCCGAATTTAAAACGGACGAACGAAATGTCAAATGGGCCACGGGCCTTTGTTATCACTAGGCACATAAATATAGTGCAAATTACGGGTGTAGTCCACTTTAATGACACAAATGCTATTGCTACCCCAATTTGTACCTCATTTTGTACCTCCTCCCTATATTTGTGGTTCACAAAAGCAATTCATTTAATGTGTTGGACTTTTGTGAACCACAAATATAGGAAGGGTGTACAAATGAGGTACCAAATGAGGTACCTCTAGCACAACTCCTTTAATGAACAACATATCTTTTATGTCTCAATTATTTTTTTGTTTTCACTTTGGATAATTCTATTCACAGCCCCCAATTTTCTAATCACAGCCACGAAATAAACGGAGTATCCAAATTACACTCCCCTGTTATCAAAACAATACTCTTTGACCGCAAACCGTAAGATTGTTTTCTTCGACCGACCAACAGCTAATTGGCCATCGAAATTGTTTTCAACAAATTGTTTTCAAACAATAAAAGCCTTCGCGTGTTCAATCGGCCATGGCCTCAATATCTGCTACGATAAATGCTACCCATATCCGTACAATGGCCAATAAACTGAGGTTACAAGAAGTTTGCTGAACATATATAAAGGTGATGTTATTGCTGCAATACAGCACTTGCTCGATATATCAATTTCCTTCTGAATTAATTTTTGTTCTTCCTTAGCTTTCTTTTGTACTGTAATACTTGTACGTCTTAGTATGTACAAGCAGTTGAGGATTTCTTCTTTAAGGCACTTGTTCAAAAGAAATTCCCTTCGAATTGTATCTGATTGTTCTAAATTGAGGGTTTATAGTAGTGAAATTATCAAGTATTCTGATTTTGTGCTTAAGATAATATTGCATCTATGAAAATTAGTTTTCAGAAAAAGAGGAAGAAGCCTTCTTCACTAAATTGAGACTGGCGTTTGTTGCTGGAGCGCCTGGAATGTGGAGTCCTGGTCTCCTGGACAGTGGACAGTCGGACTGGACTGCTGGCGTGCGGTGCTGGAGCGCTGCTGGTGAACCGGAGTCTGCGGAGTCGACGAATGCTGGTCTGTTGCAGTGCTGCGCAGATTTCCTCGACGCAAGGTTGAGGGCTGTAAATAGAATCTCAAAGGGCATGATAGGAATTATAAAAATTATGTGTGTGTGGTTAGTAAAAGAGGGGCTGTAAATAAAATCTCCCTTTCACTTTTAACTTTCCTGTTTTCACTTTTGATTTTTAATTTCACTTTTAGACTCGTTTGGCCAACCGCCTTCTCAGACCACAGAGAGAGACGCAACAAGTTTCTTTCTGTTTCATGTCGGTGCAATAACCTAGAAGAGCTTACAGAGGGCTTAGAGATTGGCTTTTCTCGTCTCTAATCACCAATCGAGTTCAGCTTCGATTCCTTTTCCAATCAATCGATCTGGTGGCCGGGAACAAATGGCGGAGGCTTACATGTATTTCCGTTGCAGATTAGAGAGTGGATTTTCACGCCTTGCATCACAGATTCCTCTATGGTTTGATTTTCCATTGATTTATTATCCTTAATTTTACTCTGAATTCGCTTTTGAACTTGGATCGTACTGGAAATTAGCAGCGACCAAGATCGAAACTTCCAGACTTTGAATCGCAACTTTGAATCTAAGAGTGGTTTGGGGCTCTCCATCTCACGACGCAACTCCTCGACTACTTGGCGACAAGTAAGGCAGTTTTTTGGCCGGAAACCACCAATGACGTCTGGGTTGTTCATCGTCGAACAGATTTCTTAGTCATCCAACATGCTAATCTATTTTGGAAGGTGGTTTGGGACTTGCCAGGTCCAGACAAATCGCAGGGCACTCTTAATCTCCCAAGCTGTGGTCCTTTTTTTGTCGATCTAATTAAGAATTGCAGCAATGACAAAGAAGAACAAGGTTACGGACAATCTTCACAAGTGCAAATCACCAGGTCAACGACTTCCAGGTTTGAGGCCTTAGACAATCTCGATGATGAATTTCAAGTACTATCCGTTGGGAAGTTGAAACCTGCACGGCCGGGAACCCCAAATGTTACTGCTACGTCACCTTTAAGGCCGGACAAATCTTTTACTGAGTCAGACAAATCAGATGCTTCTACTGAACCGACTGCCCTTGCAAGAGCTGGAAACACTGCTGACAACATAACAAATCCTACTGCCAACCCAGCAACTTCTACAAATGAGGGAGGTGGGAAACTGGAGGCTCAAGCAGGACATGGCACAACTCCAGCAGAAGGTTTAATTGAGGACTATCCTAGACTATATATTTTGTGTAAATTTTATTTGGGGTGTTCTTTTTGTTTCTCTATGTTGCACTGCCTGTCTTATTTGTTGTTGCATCTTGTTGAGTTTTGTTGCATCTTGTTGATTTGTTGATTTTATTGTATCGTGGTGCTTATTGTTCTTTATTTTTAATTCTGATTTTTGCTTGCTATTAATATTTGTTAGTGATTTGGAATAAAAAATCTTATATAGATATATATAAAAACACCTAAAAAGATAAATTTGGATTTATGAATAAACAAAAAGAAACATGAAGAAACAATAAAAAACAAAAATAATTAAAGTTATCAACAAAGAGAAACACAAAGAAACAACAAAGAAACAATGTGCAACAAAAGTAATAATTAAATGATAACAATATTTTTGTGTTCTGGATTTTTTTACTTTACATGCTTTTTAATTTACTCCAGTTTTCTGATTTTATAAATTCAATGAATCTTATTTCTATTTTTATCTTTTTACAATAGTTTTGAATTTTCTGAATTCTTTGAAACTTTATATATTAATTTTAGTTATTTTTATAATTTTTTACAATTGTTTTCAGTTTTTACGAATTTTATGTATTATCTTCAAATTTTCATATTTGTATTTGTGAGAAATTTAATAAGAATCAGTTTTCACTTCTTTTTTATTTTTGTTAGTTTTATGATAATTCATATAATTTTTATTGTCTTGCTTTACTTCGTACTTTTTTTAATGATTTTTGTTTATTTATTTTCTTTTTTTAGAGTATTTTAGATTTTTTTTTTTAACTTTTTGACTCTTCTAAAAAGTTTTAAGATTTAAAAATATTTTTTTAGTTTCTTCTAATTTTATAAAAAGTAATTCGTAGATTTTATTTTGTTATAATTTTTTATTTTAAGATTTAATGCTTTTTTATTTTTAAAAAGATTTATTTGCTAACACTTTACATTTTTTATGGTTGAATAAATTTAGAGATAATACTTTGCTCATTAACAATAATTTTAAAGATAAAGACTTTTGCTTGCTAACGTGGCAAGACTACATGAGTGCATAACTTCCCTTTTGATAACCCGCGCGATCTTCCGAGGAACAGAGGAAGAAAGATGTGTATAACCAGCCAAGGTCTATTTGTGAAAGGAAAATTACGTTTAGTCTACTTTTGAAAAGAGTTTCCAAATGTGATAGAAGTGATATTACTTTTGTTTTTAGCCCATTTGCGATATTTTCCCATAAATATACGTCTAATCTCATTTAAATGGGCCACGGGCTTTTGTGTAGATGAAGTATCCATTGCAATTCAAAGTTCCCAACCTAAAAGAGTGTCTTTTTTATGGTTGTATACGAATCAAATAATTTATGTTTAATTCAGGATTCGAATTTGTATAAGTTGGTTCGAATTCAAAAAACTCAAATATAAATACAAATAAAAATCCTAAATTCGATCAAATTGTTATCAAATACAAATATGAATATCACTGTATTCGATTTGAATGCTAATCAAATATATTTGATTAACAATAGTGATAATATTATTAATAATAGTAATAATAACATTGTAATAACTTTTGGAAACTAGTTATACTTTCAAAATGTAGCCCGTATATACATTTAAGTATACACATTCAAGCCAAATTTTAATAAATCAGAAGTATCATAAGGAGTAAGGGTTGTAAACGAAACAAATAATTTCAATTCGCTTCGTGATTTGGATTCATAAATTTTGATTTAAATTTGAAAATATAGAATATAAATACGAATACAAATCAAATTTTTAGTTCAAACATCTTTGAAATATGAATACAAATAATTATGTATTTGATTATAATAGTAATGAAATATATTAGTTTATACATGAATAAAATCAACTATCTAGTATGTGTGTGCATCAACCCACTATATGTGTGTAGTATAAACTATATATCTTATAGTGTTTTTTGCTATCAACAATGCTAAATATTTAACATAAAATTAGAGTCGTTTGACTTTGATGTATACAATTATCTACTTATTTCACACATTATAGGTATATTTTTATTATGTGTGTGTTAGTGTTTATTTAAAAAACTTTGAAATATATTTATGTAAAGTAATCATAAATTAATTCACTGGAGTATATTGTGCACAACCTAAAAATGCATCGATCCATTAATTTTTAAATAAAAATGTAATGTTACAAATTAAATTCTAAAAACACATATTAAGTCATAGCATGCATTTATAACATAAGAAATATAGGAAAAGTTGTTTTACAGTGATATTTGACTAGTATTTAATTTATGATCAAATCGATTTGATATTCGTATAGAAAAAATTAAACAAATAAAAATACAAAAATCACACTTTTCGACGCGATTCGGTTCCTTTACAACCCTATGACTTTGCCTACACGACTCAAGTTCCTTGGTTCAAGAGCCAAGTGGTTCCAGTACTGCCATCAAGACAAAAAAAAGGTGAATGATTCTATTATTGATAGATCATAGAGCTTTTGATATACAAACTATAGACCAACTTGATGCTCAGATAGCCCAAATGTTTTATATCGGAGGGTTGCCATTTAATTTGGCTCGAAGTCCTTAAGTGAGTGCATTCACATTTGTTTCTAATCGTTCTTTAGGGTGGCTATATTCCTCCGTGATACAATAAATTGAAAACTACTCCGTACATTGCTTCAGCAGGAGAAAGTTCATGTCCAACGATTACTAGAACCCATTAAAGTACTTGGATATAAAAATGAGTAAGCATTGTGAGTGATGGACGGGGAAACCCACA